CTGCGCCTGGCCTCCGAGATGAAGCACGTGCAGGAGCCCCCCTGGAACCGCAGCGTGGCCCTGACCTCGCTGGGGGGGCGCCGCTTCCTGAGCCTGGCCAAGTTCCGGCTCTTCCACGACGGTGAGAACGGGCGGGAGGGGGAGGTCCCAGACCCACTCTCATGCAGGGGGGGGGCTTGTGTTGGGGCTTATCAGCCCCCCATGGCCTTATAACCACCCCAAGTGGTGCTACCCCCCAACACCTCGGCCTCCCCAGATCTCTACCCCACAGCCTTCTATCCTCCCTCTGATGTGTTCCCACAGTGCCTCTGACCCCCCCCCATTTCCCCTCCCTCCAGCTCGCTAACCCCCCCACCCTGCTCTCTGCCCCCCAGATCTGTACTCTGGCCAGCTCCCCCTGAGGTCTCTTCCCCCCCCGGATCAGCCCCACAGTGCTGGCCATGGGTCATTTCCCCTCCCTCCAGCTCGCTAACCCCCCCCCGCTCTGTCCCCCAGATCTCTACTCCGGCTGGCTGGCCCAGGCGCTCTCCAGCGACCTCTACGTCCAGTTCTGGCCCAACTCGCGGGGGGTCCTGCCCTCCAACTGCTCGGGGCCCTACCGGGTGTATAACATCGAGGAGTTGGGCTTCCCGGCCCCGGGGCCCGACTTCTCGGCCACCGTCGACCACTCCAAGTGGTGCGTGAGCACCGAGAGCGCGCCCGGCTGGGCCTGCGTGGGCGACATGAACCGCAACCTGGAGGAGGAGCAGCGGGGTGGGGGCACCCTGTGCCAGCAGGACCCAGCCGTCTGGAAATCGTATTACGCCCTGGTGCAGGACTATAGCAAGTGCAAGGAGGGGAGTGGGGGCTAGTGGGTGGAGCCGGGATGGGGAGTCACTCTGCCCCGGTGACTCTCTAGAGGAACCTTTCCGTGCCTCAGTTTCCCCTTCGGGGCCAATGCCACTTACCTCCCTCTCGGGGGCGGTGGGGTGGGGTGGGGTGATTCAATGGTGCCTGCGAAGCTGTGGGGGTCTCCATGCCCCTGTATAAATGCAATAATAATCCTGTGATTTCTAAGTCAGTCTCACGATTTTCTCGGCCTGAAGCCTGATGGCGGTGCTCTGGGGGCAGCCAGGATGGAGGGGCGGGGACATTCCTTCAATAACCAAGGGGCGCTAGAGGGGAGAGGTCAGCGCCAACCAGGGACAGAGGACACCTGGGTTCAATTCACTGTGCTGCCTCTGCCTCAGTTTCCCCACCTGTACAAGGGCGAGAATAGCTCTTCCCCACAGCGGGGTGGGGGGAGGGGGAAGATAAATGTTGTACAGGCCAGGAGCTGCCCAGATGCTAGCGTGACCCGGCTGTGATCAGTGAGTCCCTGGCCCAGCTGGGGGAGGAGTTTAGGGGGTCCCGCTCTGCCCCCAAAGAGGTGCTCCAGGGCAGGGTCAGGGTGGGGGGGCAGGAGGGTTCACAGGGTCACCTCCAGGCTGCTGCATGGGAAGTCTCAGCACCGGTGAGGCTGGGGGGCCCAGTCATGGGCGCTGGGGAGGCCAAATCTCTGCTCTGGTTACCAATGAAGGTGTGTGTATGGGGGCGGCTATTGATACTGACTGGACCCCTAAGGTAGATCCCCATCTCTATACACCCCCCAGCTATCTGTCTGCCCCCAGGTCCACCCGTGCAGTGCCTGGTGCTGGGTGCTTGCCTGTTGCTGGGCTGTGTGCCTCAGTTTCCCTCCCCTGGCTTCCCCATCCCAGCACCCTGCCCTCAGCCAGTGTCTATTTGGGGTTAATGTTGTTCCCCCCGGGTAAGCAGGGGGTCCAAGTGCCTGGCGCTGGGTGCTACCAGGGAGTGGGCCCAGGGGCAGGTTATTCCATCAGTGCCCACTAGGGGGAGTGTTGCACCTTCCTCTGCAACCCCTCGTCCTGGCCACTGGGGGAGGTGGGATGCCAGGGTAGATGGGCCCGTGGGTCTGACCTGGGGTGGATCCCTTCTGACCAGCCGGGCGGTTTCTCCCCAGTAGCCCCACCGGGAGTGGCCCAGGCTCGTGGGGCAGCCGAACGCGCCAGTCTCTCTGGCCTGCGTTGGGGGTGGCTCTGGGCATCTCTCTGTTGGGGGGGGGGGGGGGGTGC